CTATGGTAGTGCAACTGCACCTGCAGTGAGGGACATTTAATTGGCTTAGGAACATTGCAAATTACTTCAAAGGATTTGCAACAACGTTTTAGGAAAATTACAGGACTGGTATATATAATTAGGAAAATTCCAAATGGGTTAGGAACACTTGAACATCAGTTCATGTGGTTTACCTGTAAAATGTATTGAAATGCTTCTTAATTAAATGATGAGTAATATTAAAAAGTTAGTCCCAGCCTCTATTAAGCCCCCAGGCTAAAAGTCATGTTACACGAGGTAATTTTTGTTGCAAATTGCAATGCAATTTCTGACACAGAGCCATGTTTCTAAAAACTAAAAAGGAATGGCAGGGAAATTGTGAGTCGATCTGCCAACATTCTTCATGCCATTTCTTTAATTTTCATCCCTTGGTAGTATGTTATGTCAAGAAATTGTTGGCTGAATAGAAAGCGGGCCTGCCCACACTTTCTATGTGACTTACTACTTTTTTATAACATGGCTCTGTATCCGAAATATTTGCATTGCACGTTGCAGCAAAAATTGCCCCGTGTATTACTGTAACTATTAACAACAACAGTATAAAACATGGTCTTAAAATTATAGAGGGAATACGATAGTTAACTATATATTCTGTCCCGCTATTTACATGCATGGCTATTAGGTTAGGTAACATTGAATAGAAATAAAACTTTAAATATTCACAATTTTCATGAATACTCACCAGTAATATTTGGTAAACACTGGAAGTTTGACGAGATGTTTTACAGGAATCTAAAGAAACCTGTATTGTCTCCTCCGACCACAACTGTATTAGGCATTTTGTCGCATTGTCAGGCCATAACGTGCCTCTCGTTTTCTTTTCAGCAGACGCCATATTGATATTGTATAGTTACTTCGAAGCAAAAGCCAATAGCGCATGCGTAATTAATTTTGGGTCCGCGTGCTGCTTTTTTGGCGGGCCGAGACTACCTCTGGCGATGGTCTCGGCCCGCCAAAAATTTTGGGCACGCGGACCTATCTTGTCACCGTTTACACGACAAAAATTAAGAGTGCCGTGCCGAAATTTATAGGTCCGCGTGCCTAAATTTAAGAGTGCCGTACCCAAAACGCTTGTCGTGTAAACGGGGCTCTAGATACACGTACCTCGGCTGGCAGCCCGTGTTCGAGCAAACACTGAACCTTGAAATACCTCCAGGAGGATCACCAAAAACAACAAGTAGTTCATCTCTGCGCTGTTCTTCTCACTTTTGAGGATTGTTTACTTGGCCATTATATTTATAACCATCTCTCACGTGACAAATTGTTTTTCACTTGCTGTTGCCCTTTGTACAGGTTCTTGTAAAGTGCTAGCCATATTGCCGGAGTTACCATAAGTGGATTTTCTCCTGCTACCATAAGTGGATCTTTTGTTTATTTTGTGTTTAAGGCTTGACCTCTAACACCGTTTCAGCTCAATACATCTACAAGCCAATAGGGGAACATGGCTGAGCTAGCTGAAAACTAAAATAGGATAGAGTACCCGAATGTTTCCAAATAACGCGTTCCACGATTCAATTTTAGGAAAAAAAATAGAACTACATATATAGGGATGTTATCATTGACTGGTCAAAACATTTTCAAAATTTACAAAACATTTCCACATACAAAAATAACAAAATGTTAGTAGGATGACTACAAGCATTCATCGATTTCCTCTGCTACTTTTAGCACGACAACCAGGGGTAATAAGATACCCTCCCCTTACACAATAATTTCAAAAATTATTTGCTGTTGGTCAAAAAATATTACTGGAAAACGCGTACCCAACAACCATTGCCTTGCAGAAATGCAGATTCAAAACCGCAGAAAAAACCCAACAAAAAGTTGGTCATTGTCATATGGCAGCGACCTTACCCCCCTGGAATCGTGATTCTTTCGCCACGCCCCTAACAACCAGTCATTTTATTTGAAATTCTCATATTTTTCTGTAATCATTATTATTCAAACTATAGCTTATGCTTTAACCAAAATCGTTACATGATATACCTCTAGTAAATTTGATTTCAAATTACATCTATAAAATTTTTAAAAATTTTTCATCGCCGTCCGTTTTATTTCAAATGTCATTATTAAAACTAGATCAATAATCGTATTGTTTCACCTTTTTACTAAATAGTTTGGAATATTTCTTTACACATTTAGATGTCTACCCCAATAGATTTCTTCAATTCCTTTCAACAACATCCTGCATCTTATTTCTTTATCATGAATGAAACAACTTCAGTTGCGCTGGCACCATGACTGCCTTGCACCAGTATAATGACATTTTCGTTTTGACCAACTCTGCCCCGTTTTCCTCCACCATATCGAACAGCAACGCGTAAGAACGTCTTGCTTTTTGCCCTCACTGTTGTTCGTTTTCGCCCAAGAAGAGACACCTAGAGACATGTAAGCCACATTTCATTTGATGTTGAAGGGTTTTTGTAGATGGAAATTTCAAGTGGAAACTTTATACATATGTTAGACCTGACTCAGCAGGGGTGGGAAAATATTTGACTTTCTGGGACCGCAAGAGAACATTGAACATTTTCTGGAAATAATCAAGTAAATGGACACTCGTACACTGTAACTGTATGTGTGACACTAACAATTGTCAAACTGGATGTCCTGCTATATTTTACAGGAAAAATATTTCACTGAGAATCTTAAAATATAACATAAAACTAATTTAGATAACATGCATCAAGGGTTGATCCTGTAAATACAGATGCCAAAAAAAGCTAGGGCACTACTAGGGGACACTTTCACGGGATCCATGCTCCCCCAGACAATTTTGAAAATCAGGTGTATAACTTACAAGTGGGAGTGTTCCACCCCTTCCCCCCTCTAACGACGATTTTCGTAGATCAGAAAATGAGGATTATATCCCTATTCCGTAGTGTAGTTTATGAAAGCTAATTTGATGAAGGAAGACAGAAATGTACGTATCGTTAGTCGATACGTACATTTCTGTCTTCATCAAATTAGCTTTCATAAACTACACTACGGAATAGGGATATAATCCTCATTTTCTGATCTACGAAAATCGTGTGGTTACAAACGTTCATCTTAGAATATAATATGGCAATAGCTATAATTATTTTAGAAGTGTTATAAACTTCTCATGAGCTCACACTGTGAGTGGTTCGACTCTGTAAAATATCGCCTTTTTTTCTCACCTTGTACCCAAGATTATCCTTGAATGAAGTCCTAAACACTTGATCTGTACCCATGCCGTTAAACAAATACAACATGATGAATGCGCTACCGCCTTGTTTGATTGCATATCTTCCCGAATTATAAAATTCTTTCAGAACCAACGGTTTCACCTGACTGGCCCGCTGTGAGATTCGCTGGAATACCTTGTTCTTACTTGTTCTTCCTTTAATCAATATTTTAAATTGATCACTTGGTGGGTCGAATATTAAAGTGTAGCGTAAGCCACTTTTGCCGTTCAGTCGTACCGGTTTTATATCAGGGATAAGGACTTTGCCATAAATATCGACGATGTCCATACGGATTGAATTATTTTGAATTTGCTTCTCTCCAGATATTGTAAGATAGACTTGGGCTGGTTCACCTATATCGTAAGTATAAAATATGTATAGTCGCTACGGATACTGTGTATCTATAGCTGCACAGACAACGGCAAAATCTTATCTACTTGTTAAATATATTTATCTATATTACAAATTTGTTTTGACAACTTAATATTGCGCCTGCAGATTATTACATGACTATAGATTATCACCGCGCGAGTAGCAAAAGCTGTAATCGACTCTTATAAGAAGAGGTGAGATTTTTGCGTTTGTTCCCTGGGAGCGAATCACGGACTTTTGCTAGGACGTTTCAAACGTAGACGAACTTTAATGGAACGGTCACCTACCAGCTATGGGAGATTTTAATTCCAATATCTTCTTGTTCACGTTTTTCATGTAACCATGATTAAAGTTAATATTCTCAGTGCTCGAAACTTTGACTGTGTATTGGTATTTCCCCGCGTCTACGGGGACCCGGAATTTCCAGTTACCAACCATAGGCGAGTCAACAATATAAATAGCAACATTAGGAAAACGATTCATTCCCTCGGTCCATGCCACTCCAGAAGGAGTATGTAGGCTGATGCCATTTGCATTTTTCTCGGTTGTTGCAGAAATAACTAACTGAGAAATGGTATCGTCGAGTGGAATTAAAATTTCGTCCACGGTACTGCGCTTCTTTCTTTTCTTCGAAATTGTACCACCACATTTTACTGTTGCCGGAGTACCTAAATTCAAAAAAGGGTGAACTTTTATATTTATTTTGGATATTTTAATACTACTAAGAAAATCGTGCGGAAATTGACAGCCCAATCGGGTGTTGGGTATCAATTTCCCGTTTGTAATCTAAAATGACTGAAAATTGCAAACTTCGCAAGGCTATATTATCCGCATTATACAACATTTCGCAACGAAACTTCGGAATATTACTAATTTTGTGATGCTCTTTCAAGCTGTGATGAAATTTTGATCTAGACTTGTCTAGATCAAAATCATAGTTATAAGGTTAATTAGATCCATTGCACCTGTGCTACATTACCAACGACGAGCCCCTACCTAATTCTGCGTCCGTAAAGTTTGCCAAACGTTTCAGTTCAGTGTCTTCGATCGGCAGATAACTTCCTCCACTCTTGGATGCTAACTTTTTGTAAGATTCGAATGTGCTGCCAGGAGGATTTTGGCATTCTTCTTGCGTGAAAAAGTTGATGGTTATTCCGTATTCTTCAGCAAGACAAAGGAGCATTTCCACATTTTCCACTGTGTCTTTTTTTGACGGTGCGTCGGTGAAAACAAACAACGGGGATCCATATTCGGGATTTGCTTGGATAGCTTGGAACATACCTTCCAATGCATATTCTGGACAATCCCCTCCACCCCTTGCTACGAGATTTCCTATTTTGTTAACAAATTCACCCACTTGATCTTTCTTTTTTTTTATGGCGCCTCCCAGGTCTAAAATGAAACTTTTTATTAATGGCGATGGTTGTGATGGTGATGGTGATTGTGACAAAGACCATGGTTATGGTGATAGTGACGGTGATGGTTATAGTGATGGTTTTAGTGACAGTTTTAATAAATTGTGTGTTAATATTATGCACTCCTTATTTGGAATAACTTTTGTTTCTTTGTATGATTGCATGGCGATTAAATATATAACAGTTTTTGTTTGTGGAAACACCACGTAAATTTATTACTGCAAAGCTTTCGATCAGTAAACATATACTTTGTGATGTTTTCACAGCATAGATAATGCTATGAAAACACCACAAAGTATACAGCAGAAAATTGAATATCAGTCGTCTGTTTGTCTACCATACATTGGTCCGGTTTCACACAAAATTGAAAGAATTTTGAAGAATGAAGCAGGTATAAAGGTATACCATTCTACCATAGGCTGCCCAAAAGTGCGTGTTGAATAAATATTATTATGTCATAATAATAAACTGAGTAGACTCGATGCATGCCCGAGCGCCACGCGCGAGGGTAAAAATTTCAACACGCACTTTTGGGCAGCCTATGATTCTACCGAAAACAAATTGTTTCGAGGTCTTTGCACACATAAAGACAACGTTAATGAATATCAGAAAACTAGTGTGTACCGCATTCCTTGTGAATGTGGTTTTGTTTACATTGGTAAAACTGGTCGAAATCTCTCAGTACGTCTTAAGGAACACAAGACGAATTGCGAGAAAGCCGAGCAAGATAAATCTGCTGTGGCTAAACATACATGGACTTACGACCATCGTATAAAATGGGACGAAGCAACCATTTTGGCGATTGATAGTCATAAGTTCTCTCGCAAAATGAGAGAGTCAATTGAAATTGAGAAGCACAATACTATATACAGGGTGTATAAAAAAAAACTGAACAGATTTGAAATTGCTCTCAATTTCGCAAAACACCTATTTGTATCCGGTTTTTTATAGATATAGCTTCTTTGGGTACTTAGAATGTAGAATAATGAAAAAAATTTCTTGAACTCAAATATTGTGAACCAGGGGGGTGTGTCTTTTCCAACAAACTGACTAATGACTTGCGCACAAAATTTAAAAGTTGTAATCATATTTTGAGTCAATAGATGGACAATTTGTCGGGTTTTTAATTACTGTACAAAATTTCAGACAATTTGGTTCAGTTTAAGCCGTTTAACTATTCACGCAAACTTACATTTTTTCCTAAACTGAATCAGCTATTTGCATGCTTAATTAATGCCTTTGCCTAATTTGCATATGTTAGTAATATGCAAATTAGGTAAAGGCATTAATTAAGCATGCGAAAGGCTGATTTTTTAGAATAAAATGAATAGTTAAACGGCTTAAACTAAACCAAATTGTCTGAAATTTTGTACAGTAATTAAAAACCAAACAAAGTTTCCATCTATTAACTCAAAATATGATTAAAACTTTTAAATTTTGTGCGCGAGCCATTTTTAGTTTGTTGGAAAAGACACCCCCCCTGGTTCACCAAATTTGAGTTTGAGAATTTTTTTTCATTATTCTACATTATAAGTACCCAAAGAATGAAAAGAAGCTATATACATAAAAAACCGGATACAAATAGGTGTTTTGCGAAATTGAGAGCAATTTCAAGTCTGTTCAGTTTTTTTTTTATACACCCCGTAGATCAGGAAGGAAAGCCACTAGATAGTACGTGGCGTGCTCTCTTTAATGTGCAAAATTAATTTCTCTTGTCTTGGATGCGCGCGTTTGGAACGACGTAGTTGATGTGCCGTTTAATTAAATTTCAAATGACGCGAGCCAACAGATCACGACACTTTTGTATATAAACACAGATGATAGATTGTACTATAACACCACAGAGTAGAGACATACAGAGACGTACCACTTTTTTGTGCGCATGCTCGGCAAGTTACTAGATGCATGCATCTGATTGGATGACGACCTGATGACGACTCACTCCAAACTTGCTGAGCACGCGCAGTTGATCATTTTTCGCCCGGTCGCCTGAAAAAAAGTGGGTACATGATAACGTAATCTCCCGCAGTGTTTACAACGGTCAGTTACGTCTCTGTATGTCTTATTTATTCTGTGATAACACAGAGTAGGGACATACAGAGACGTAACTAGTGTACCCCCTTTTTTGTGCGCATGCTCGGCAAGTTACTATATGTACGCATCTGATTGGATGACGACCTGAGCACGACTCACTTTAATCTTGCTGAGCACGCGCAGTTGATCATTTTTCGCCTGGTCGCCTGAGAAAAAGTGATGAAAATGATATCTCTATATTTTTTGATGCACTTAAATATTAATTTCTTACCCTGGGGGTCGCTAAACCAGGACAGAATATAACTGCTTGGTGGTGCACGGCGTTTAGACGTGCTGATCTCAGTTGCAATTGCTTTGGCCGCCTCTATTACATCATTCATGCTGCCCGTAATATCGATCGCAAATATTAACGTTTTTCCTCCGTCCAGCGCAAAAAGTTTGGAATACATTGTTTCACCAAGGTATTTCCTTATGTTTTCAAGAAACGTTTTTACATCCTGCTTGATCGATCTTCTCCGACGTCCAGCTGGTTTTGAATTGTTTTTCTCTATCGTATTCAGTGCTATGGCGAGTGTACGCCGTGCAAATTTTATGTTCCCCAGTTTTACAGCGTCTTTGATATCGCTTTTCAGCTCTGGCAGTTTATATTTCTTTCTAAAAGTGAAATTAGTTCAATATCTAGGTGGGTAGGTGAATGTGTGGGTAGTTGGTTGGGTGGGTAGGTAGGTGGGCGGGTGGATAGTTAGGTAGGGATAGATAGGTAACTGGGTAGGTCAGTAGGCAGGTGGATGATATACACAAAGGGTGGGTAGGTTGTGTATATAGGTGAAGGCCCCGGGCACAACTATAATTTTAGCTCCCATGCATATTTTATTCAATGTACCTGGATAGGTCAGCTTGTTCCATGAAACGTTCGATCTGATGTATAACTTGATTGACCTGGTTTAAATTTATGTTTTTCAGAATACTTTTCGAATTCCGTATTGTGCTGCTTATAATATCTTGGACCACTTCAATCATGGCCAAACGTGCCTTATCCATTGTCACTAAGTGTTTGGATATTTCTTCGTACATGCGGCCCATCATATCGATCGCAACACCTGGCAACGCAAACATTTTGGAAAGCGTTTTTTTGCCAAGGTCCCAAAGAAAATTTTTTATGTCATCCTTGATTGATCTTTTCCGACGTCCAGCCATTCCTGAGCTGCTTTTCTCTATCGTATTAAGTGCTATGGCGAGCGTACGCCGTGCCAATTTCATGTTCCCCAGTTCTACAGCTTCTTTGATATCGCTTTTCAGCTCTGGCAGTTTATATTTCTTTCTAAAAGTGAAATTAATACTATATATAGTATAAATAGAAATAAGAAAGGTTTATTGGTAGGTGGGTAGGTAGAGCAGGTACGTGGGTGGATTGGTAGGTACTGTACGTGGGTAGATGATAGGTTGGTGGGTGGGTGTATAGTTAGGTTCGGTAGGTGGTTGGGTGGGTAGGTAGGTGGATGGGTATATAGGTGGGTGTGCAGGTAATTTGGTTGGTGGGTGGGCAATCTCGTACCCAGAGCAATGCCTGTGCGCGGGCTAGGATGGCATTGGCTCTGGGGAAATTGAATTTTTCTTGTGCTCTGATTGGTTAACGTTTATCAATCGTGCATGCCGACAAAGAACCGGAACCCCTAAATTTAGTGCTTCCGGTTTTCAATTTCCCCAGAGCCAGTGCCATCCTAGCCCGTGCACAGGCATTGCTCTGGGTACGAGATTGGTGGGTGGGTGCATGGATAGGTAGGTAATTAAGTAGGTATGTAGGTAAGTGGGTAGGTACGTCGGTATGTAGGTAGGTGGGTAGGTACGTAGTAGGGGGTGGGTAGTCAGGTGGTTAGGTACGTAGTAGGCGGGTGGGTTGTCAGGTGGGTAGGTAGGTAAGTAGGCGTAATATACAAAGGGTGGGTTAGTTGTGCAAATGGGTGAAGGAGCACAACTATAACTAACATATTTTATTCAATTCTCTTTCTGTACCTGGATAAATCAGCTTGTTCCATGAAACGTTCGATCTGATGTATAACTTGATTGACCTGGTTTAAATTTATGTTTTTTAGAGTACTGTTCGGAGTCCGTATGCTGCTGCTTAAAATATCTTGGACCACTTCAGTCATGGCCAAACGTGCCTTATCCAGCATCACTAAGTGTTTGGAAACCGGTGGCTTCTCGACTGTAAGGTAAAGTTCAAGTTGTTTTATTTAAGGTTGCATTGCGCGAATGTTTCAAGGCTAGGCCTTAAAGAAGACAAAAGTTATTCCGAATAAAGAGTGCATAATATTAACACACAGTTTTAATAAATTATGTGTTAATATTATGCACTCCTTATTGGAATCACTTCACTACGTTTGGAACGACGTGGTTGATGTGCCCATACATAGGAAGCCCAAAAATGCGTGTTGATATTTTTACCCTTGCGCGTGGCGCTCAAATCAAATCAAAATCAAAAAATATATTTACCATACTTTTAAAATATTTACAAGTGTTAGCCTATATTAAACACACAATTACAATATTATAAAGATTTGGCAGGAGATTGGCATTGAAACTCGAGAGAGTTTGGTAATTACCAATCACCTTATCCAGCAGAGTATAGAAATATTAAGTAGCTATTAATTTGTTGTTTGTGTGAGAGAAAAGAAAACAATATAATGATATTATATTCTTTTAATAAAGCTTAAAAAACTCATTAATAATTCAGGAGCAAAACACGAAGAAAAATCATAAACGTGTCGTGGTTTTATATGTGATAAAAAATCATGTTAATTTACATAAACTTTAGCTTTGATTTTCTCGGTTTATACAAGGTTTATTTTAAAAATTACTTCGCCAATGAACTCGTATAAGATGAGTCGTTTTTTAAGCCATTTAAAGCACTTGCAGTCGTGTTTTATCACATATAAAACACTCCGCTACGCGTCGTGTTTTATATGTGATAAAACACTCCTACGCGTGCTTTAAATAGTACATATAACTCATGATTATTCAATCATTTCATTAAACATGGAATATTTAAACTTTTTCTGGAAAGATTGGAGTGATGTAGCATGGGTGATGGAATCATCAAGTGAATTCCAAAGAGTAATCCCACTTTTTCTTAAAGTCATTTGTCTAGTTTTGGTCTTGGCTTGAGTGACATAAATTTTACTGGCAATTCTTGAGTTATGATTGTGAATTTCATTGTTAAAAGTAAAGTAAGTTCGGAAAACAGTGGGAAGAGTGGATGGAGTAAATATACATCTATACATGAGAGATCCAGTTTGTAACTTATTAATATCATACACTGTTAATAGTTTTAGCTTAAGAAATAATGGCTTAGTATGATCCCTATATCGTACATTAGCAATTATTCGGATGGCGCGTTTTTCAAGATTGATACTGTAAGTGTTTGCCCAGATTATGTTGCAATATTGAATATATGGTAGAACCAAAGAACAGTATATAGAGTTCGCCGAGCAGTGGCCGAAACTAGTGATTTTATTTTGTTTATGGCTCCAATGGACTTAGAAATTTTTAGAGAAATTGTATTAATATGAGGTTTCCGATCTAGATTTTTATGAATATGAACGCCAAGAAATGTTAAAGAACTAACTTGTTCTATAATTTGATTATCAATCAAAATATCAATATTTTTTGTATAACGTTTGGTCCTCGAGCAGAAAATCATACTTTTTGTTTTTTTGAGATTTAATGATAACTTATTTGTTTTAAACCACATGGACAATTTTACAAGCTGTAAGTTAACCGATTGTAGTAGTTAGTCAAGATCTTTGCCTGAATAAAAAATACTAGTATCATCAGCAAATAATATTATCTTAACATAATAACATATAATAACATATAACTAGTACACTGCGAGAAGCAAAAACAGCATATTATAAAGCACAATTTGAAAGTGTCAAACATGACCCTAAAAAAGCTTGGAAAACCGTTAATAAAATCCTTAACCGGAAACAAGAATGTCGCGAAATAAATTGTATCCATACTCAGAATGGTCAAATTTTTTGTCCAAATGAATTAGCGGAGCGCTTTAATAATTACTTTATTATTATTATTATTATTATTATTATTATTTAATCTTATTTACACACATATACAACGGTAGCCCTTCAGCAAGTTTATCTACAGTTCCTTGTAGCTGATTTTCAAGGGGCCGTTGATTAATAATTAGGGAAGAAAATAATGAAAATATACGAATATATATATATATAAATATAACACACGAATAATCCCCCCCCCCCTTCCTTCACTCAGTCCTCCCACCCACCCTTATAATAAAACATTAAAAACTTTAACAATCTACGTTTGTCTGTCTCGGAGCAGCGCTTTAAATCTTTTTTACTGACATTGGTCCAAAAATTGCCACAACCATTGGTAACACTGACAGAAATTTCACGGATTACATAACAAAAGCAACAAGTAGTTTCAAGTTTCAAACAGTGTCTGAAACCAAAGTATACAAACTTCTCGCCTCTTTAAATCCTTGTAAATCTACTGGAATTGATAAAATTCCCGCTAAAATTATTCGTATTGCTGCGCCAATAATTGCAAATTCACTGACAAGAATTTTTAATACGGCAATCTATAGTGAAACTGTTCCTTCAGAGTGGAAACTAGCGAGAGTTATCCCTTTACACAAAAATGGCCCTCGAAACATGCTGAATAACTATCGCCAAATTTCCATTCTGCCTATAGTAAGTAAAGTTTTTGCAAGGCAATGCACATCTCGAGGAAGAAGAAATTGGAAAACAAAGCGCTGTACAATCTCAATGGTCATCCGATCGAGAAAGTTATGCACATCAGGGATCTCGGTGTCACCGTATCCAGTGATCTATCATGGTCTAGGCATATCGAGGTCACTGCATCGAAAGCAAATAAGACCCTTGGCCTCATTAAAAGGATATGTAGGAACATGCGTGACTACGCTACAAGAAGACTCCTGTATTGCACCCTGGTTAGGCCCCAGCTGGAATATGCCAGTAATGTCTGGTCGCCATATACCATAAAATACTCTAATTTCGCTCTCCCCCAGGGGGGGGGGGGGCTTTTCAGAGCCAAATACCAGCCTCGTACCCAGGCGCAAATAACGTACTAAAAATAGCAACACTACAGTGTTTTTATATAGATCAGTGGCTAAGATGAGCGAGCGCGCGGGGGTGCTTGGGCCCGTCGTGTCCTGACCTAGCACCCCCGCGCGCTCGCTCGCTCATCATAGCCACTGATCTATATAAAAACACTGTAGTGTTGCTATTTTTAGTACGTTATTTGCGCCTGGGTACGAGGCTGGCCAAATACGATAATTTACAATACAATATAATATGTGAATATCTATGGCTATAAAGTGAAAAAGATGTCTTCGAAGTTTACTTTTAAAAATATTTATAGACGTGCTTGTCTTAATGTTCACTGGTAGAGCGTTCCAGAGTGAAACAGCACGGTAATAAAATGATCTTTGGCCAGTGGCACTTTTATAAAAAGGGATGTTCAAGGATTGGGAATTTCTGGTACAGCGTCCACTTATACTGCATCTCTTTACAAATTGCTTTTACAAGTAATCAGGGCCGTTCCATTCATGCATTTGAACGTCAAGACTGCATCGCGGTAGAAAAGATGGAGTTTGACAGGAAGCCAATACCATCAAACACAAATCATTAATTGAAAATATTCAGCGGCGAGCGACGAAGTTTATACTGAACTACCCGAACGAAATGTCCTATACAGAGAGGCTAATTAAAACAAACCTCCTTCCATTAGAATTCCGCCGAGAGATCTCCGACCTGTTGCTAGTTTTCAAATCAAAAACCGGACTAATATCTATGGATGTCAATAACTATTTATGCACCTTCGAACCAGGCTATAAATCACGACGCAATTACGACGAAAACAATTTCAACTTCCTGATTAATCACAAACAGGACTACTTTATAGGAACTCTTTTTTTATAAGATCAGCCAACCTGTGGTACAGTCTTTCATCAGAACTGAAATCTCTAGTAATTAACTCTAGTATATCCATATTATATTTAGAGCCAGGCTACGCGAGTTCTATAATGCTAAATTACCATCATATAGTCCTCCTGGCTGCATCTAAGTAAATTTAATGTTATATAATATAGTTGTTTGTTTAATCATATACTAGTAATGATAGGGGTAAAGTGTCAATTGGGACGCAAGTCCTGTTCTTTTCTCCAGTCACGTCCATGTTTAGTGTGTTATCTTGTAAGAATGTTGTGTTAGTGTTGCTTGTTTGCTAGTATACATTTTTTGTATATATCTATATAAAGGTGACGAAATTATTAAATTAAATTAAAAAGTTCTATATGGTCAACTATATGATTATTTTGTTCTTAATAATTTGTTGTCTCAAAATCAATTTGGTTTTAGGCAGTTCCATTCTACAGCTTCTGCCCTTTTGGACACTACTAACGAATGGTTCATTAATATGGACCGTGGTCAATTCAATATTGCAGTATTTCTTGACTTGCAGAAAGCATTTGATACTATAAATCATAATATATTGATTAAGAAACTTGACCTTTATGGTCTACAAAAACCTGCCCTAAATCTTTTAGGATCATACTTAGAGAACAGATTTCAAATGTGTACTGTGAACGGCGTATTGTCTAAAAAAATCTAGTTACTTGTGGGATCCCCCAAGGTTCAATTCTTGGGCCACTCCTGTTTCTAATTTATATAAACGATCTGCCTACAAGTCTTGAACGCTCGTCATCAAGAATGTTTGCCGACGATATAACGTTAACTGTATCTGGTAAATCTCTTCATGATGTAGAAGTTGCCATCAATCACGATCTTTTAAACGTTAATCAGTGGCTCTGTGCAAATAAACTATCTTTAAATCTCGTTAAAACTGAGTACATACTAATTGGATCACGGCATAATATTAATAATATATTGGCTACCCCAAAGGTATTTGTTGGTGACATACCAATTAAAAGGGTAAGAGAAACAAAGGCACTTGGAGTCTATATTGATGAATTTCTATCATGGGAACTGCCTCGTCTTTCGTCGCTTCAGTTGGGAATAGAGATCAGTGGAAAAACAATGGGAGCGCGGTGCTTAATGGGAATGCGATAGAATCTGAAGCTCAAATGACGCGACCGCGCGTACGAATGAGGGACTGTGGAAGAGTCAGTCATGGGAAAAGCATATTGATAAAATTGCCAAAAAAGTCTCATCCGGAATTGGGGCATGCAATCAGACAGTTAAAATCATGTGTAGACCGTAATACATTAATTTGTGCCTATAATGCACTTGTTTGGCCTCACCTTGATTACTGTTGCGAAGTTTGGGACACCATTGGTACCACACTTTCTGATCCTCTCCAGAAATTACAAAATAGGGCTGCTAGAGCTATCGTGGGTCGTAAAAATGAACATGGTCAATCTGAACTTGCTCAAAATGAATTAAACTGGAAGCCTCTGAGCGAACGCAGAACCCAGTTTGTGGCAAGTCTGATGTATAAAATTACTCATGATCTAGCGCCCTTACGACTTACTGATATTTTTCAAAAGACGTCTTCCTCCCAGCATTATAATTTGCGGGGCTCTTCCACTAAACTCAATTTGCCCAAGCCTAAGACTGAATATCTTAAAAAAAGTCTTAGCTATAGAGGGGCTAAACTGTGGAATAGTCTCCCAAATGAATTAAGAGGAAAAGAATCACTAGCTATATTCAACAAAAACGTATGACACCTGGCTATACTAATTAGAGTTTTCAAATCCATATTTACCTTGACTATTTAATCTATTAATATTTACTATAACCTATTTAATTATGTTTGTAATGTAAATTTGAATTTAATACTACGCCCCCCTTGGAAATCAGCTTTTGCTGTAGGGGTTAGCGTAGTAAAATAAAGTTTTACCTACCTACCTACCTAATAAGGAAGAGCAGTTCGATATATCATTTATATAAATAAGGAATAGCAGGGGTCCCAATATTGACCCCTGGGGGACACCACAAGAAATAGTTTTTTGCTCCGACAAAGTATCATTGAATTCGACAAATTGTTTCCTGTTAGAAAGGTAGTCAGAAAACCAGTTTAATGGTGTACCCCTATAATACCATAATGAAGGAGTTTCTCAAGAAGAATTTTATGATTGACCGTATCAAATGCTTTGCTCAAATCAATGAAGACACCCACTGAAAACTCCTTTCTATATCCACTGAGTTAGAAAGATTATCAATTAGTTCTAATACAGCCATAAAAGTAGAGTGATTCTTCCGAAAACCAAACTGGTTATCACATAGAATATTGAATTTAGTTAGGTAGTTTAAAAGTCTTGAGTAAACAATGCTCGGGCATACATCGGAAAAAAGTAGTCGCAATTTATGTTATCTAAATTCAATATTTGTATTGATTGCATCAGGGTTGGTGCTTATATTTTCGTCACTTATATTTTCGTCAAGTGGATTAAATTTGAGTTCTGAAAGTCTTTCAATATCATTGTCATTTGGTATTCGATTATAGTTTCCAAAAATAAAACTAAATTTAGGATTATCAATAGAATAAGATATTAACGCATTTTTTGCATATTTTGATTTCCGTTTCCTGTCACGTAGGACACGAATTATCACAATCATAAATCCAACTTTTACATCTTTCGCACTTAAAGCTTGATTCAATTTTGTGAGATGCAACTAACTTAGGATAGTTAGAACAGATATTTGGTGTATTACACATATTTTAAGTTTAAGGTAATAAAAAGTTACGATACAACCTTAAATGTTCAACGGTAAACTAATTTTGCTTGAATTGAACACCATGGATAAATAGCCTGTCGTGCACCAGGCGTACTCTCTTCTTAGCTAATTTTGCTTTCCTCATTTCTGGATATAGTTTTCTTCTGGTTTCTTCAATCTCTTGAGGAAATTGTTCAGAGATTCCAATTTTGGTTCCTCTCAATTTCTTCGCGTTTTTTCTTATCATTTCACGGTTTTGAAAAAAATCGAATTTCGCGACAATAGGTCTCGGCTTACCGCGTTGATTGTGGTGTTGCTCGCCAAGTGTATGCGATCGATCGATCTTGATGGTATGAGTCGCGTTTTGAATTTCTAATTTTTCTTTCAATAATTTATGTATCATCTTTGTATAGTGTCCTCATTTTCTTCTTTTGGTGTATTGAAGAATAATAAGTTATCCCGTATAGATCTGGTTTTGAGATCAATTACACTGTCTCGAAGTTTCTGGTTTGTCTCCTCGAGATTGTTTATGCTCGCTTGGGCTTCATTCAGCCATTTCTTATTTTTACGATATCCGAAACTTAGTAAATGGGGATTTAATGTAAGTACGACTCGTCAAAATGGCGGGACGATTTACAGTAAACCTTTTAATATTTTGGTATTATGTAAAACAAATATGAATGTTTTTATTTGTGCAATGGTAAGAATATTTTCATTTGGTGAAAGATGGAATGTTCCATTCAACTCGGTTGTCGCCTCTTTGAATGGAACATTCCATCTTTCACCTCATGAAAATATTCTTACCATTGGCATTGCACTCATAAACATTCATTATTTGTATATTAATGCCCGCAGCAATCTCTTCTTTGTAGGTACCCTAGTTAATATATATTCATAACATGGACCATAGACTATTTTAATAGTAATATTAAAAAACATTAATAATTCATGAAAAACACAAAGAAAAATCATAAGCGTGTCGTATCTGTATATGTGATACAGATTCATGTTCATTTACATAAACTTTAACTTTGATTTTCTCGGCTTAGACAACTTTTATTTTTAAAATTACTTCGCCAATGAACTCATAGGATGAGTCGTTTTTTAAGTCATTTACAACATTTGCGTCCGTGTTGTATCGGATATACAAACTCTCGCCTTCGGCTTCATGTTGTAAATAGTACTTAAAATATAATAATCTTAGGGTCAAAATAGTCTCTTAGACTCCTACATTAACAGTCAGCTGATTAAAAATTAAAAATCATAACTACTGCATTTTTTTGAGACACTCCGTATATTACTTTAAACAACACAATATAGATGATATTATACAAGTATGTCGATCAATTTATTAGCAGTATACCGCTCCTAGAATAGTTTTCGCCCACCTTTGTATCAATGCAAACAAGCCGGGAAATTTTAGTGCTGAAATACATTTCCAGATTTTTTTGAAAACACATCAGGGATTTTAATATCCGTACGAACAATTAAATCGAAAATTGGTTTTCTTCGGATACTCCTGCTATGGAAAAACCGCAGAGTTCCAATATTTGAAAGGGTCTACATTAGACTTACTTCTCTCAAGCCACGCGCCAGTTTCGTTTTTGCTGGCGTGATTCGACACATTCGAGTTCGCCAGATTCGTTACAGTCACAGCCTAGAGGAAAACTATAAAATGTTCCGCTCGCACCGAGCTTGTTAATTAAATTTGTGTCTAAAGTAGACCTTACCGTGAAATATTTTATAGTAGGTGCATCTATGTAGTGCGTGCGGTGTGCATGGACCGACAAGGAAAATACACAAATCAGTGTTTTGCGTATTTTCCTTGTCGGTCCATGCCCATAATTCGTGTAAAAATGTTCCTCAATTATAGATATAGGTGGGTATTAAGTTAGTGAATTTCGCAGATCTTCACAGGGTATGTGAGGGCGGTGAGGCGGACTATACTGTGAAATATTCTGTAATAGGTATGTTATATACCTTGAGATTCCATGTGTATGGTGCTAAAAGTAGGCTTTTTGTATCTGAAGTTAAGTTACAGGGTATGCATTTACAAAACAATATTTCATGCTTTCGAAGTGGATCAGCGTCTTAAAATGAGCAGCATTTTCCCTTCGTTTTGGGTGTCGCTCTTAGTCTCACTAGTAAAACATTAATTAATACATTTTAGATACACGTACCTCGGTGGACAACCCGTGTTTGAGCAAACACTGAATCTTCAAACACGGCGAGGAGGATCACCAAAAACAAAAAGTAGTTCATCTTTGCGCTGTTCTTCTCACCTTTGAGGATTGTTTATCTGGCCATTATATTTATAACCTTCTCTCACGGCTTTGTCACGTGACACACGTAACAAATTGTTTTTTACTTGCTGAGTTACCATATGTGAATGTTTTATTTTGTGATTTAGGCTTGACCTCTGACACCGTTTCAGCTCATTACATCCCCAAGCCTACAGGGGAACATGACTGATGAATCGAATATATTCGATTGAATCATGGGGGTGCTGGGAGGTGTCCCCTCAAAAAATTTGAAAGGCTCGTATGTTCTGGCAAAGATTTGTTTTGCCCAACCAACCGCAAAAACTGTTTCAAAACATGTAACTGGGAATTATGAATATTCAATATACTAATAATCTTCAGCCAACAAAGAATATTAGGTTCTCCCACTCCACTTTTGGAGAGCTTTGCTCGCCCCAATTTTACCTGCTGTTCCATTACCCCAGCACATGATTTGTGAGGAAAATACGAGGGTCTGGGGGGGGCCCTCCCAGAGAACTTTTATATTTTTTGATGCTCAATGACAGCAGTTTTGGAGCATCCGCAAGGAAAACGAGTAAATGAGAAGACTGTTTTAAAGTCTGCCTCGTCCCCAGTCGCTTGCTATCAAATATTTAATTAGGAAAAAACGAAAATACTTAATGAGGGAAAACGAAAACAACCCGAAAGGAAAACGAACAATTAGAATAATTAATGCGCGCTCGTCCTTAGTTGCGGGCATGCGGATTTCCATTCAGTGGAAAAAGTCGCGAGATCGACTTTTTGCGGTCGCTTTCTTTTCAAATGTGTTCATTCAACCTCATCCGTTGCGCTTGATTGCTTGTATTTCAAAAGAAAGTGGTCGCAAAAAGTCGATTGCGCGACTTCTATATTTGTTAATGAGGTAGCCTAATAGGGATTAAGGTTATATTGGTAACTGCGCATTTGTGTTTTAAAAACTGCACAAGTGGGTTTAGAACTGCACATTTTGTGTAGAACTGCATATCAGTCGAATTCGTAGGGCAATGATGACTCAGTTGATTCCCCCATCATTCTCATAATAGCATGGAATAGGCCATTTCCGAATAAATTGTCCAGAACAATAAAGCGAAATCGAGGCTTCGTGCTAAATTTACTCAGGAAAAACATTACAAGTTTTCATGAAGCCTCGTTCTCAGGCTACCTCTCATTCGCTTAAACCTTAGTACGTACTGATTGGTTAATCGGATATGTCAAACGCATTTGATTGATTAATAGCTTTAATCCATTAATGGTAATGGTAGCGGAAGTAAAATCTGAACCTAGCTTTGTTGGACATTCGACCATAATTCGGAATTTTACGAATGTGACAAGGGTCCCATTCCTGGGGCCGGTTGTATAAAAAAGTGATTAAAGTTAACTATGATTAAGTGCAAACGTCATCCAATAAGAAGCGCGTATTTGAGAGTTAATCACAATTTAACTACAAAATAGTGATTTAAAAAGTGATTAAGAGTTTTATACAACCGGCCCCTGGAATATAAAGTCGTTCGAATATAATTTCTCCTCAATGTTAAATTTTGGTCTACAGTCTTTCCGCAGCGATGCTCTTTAAGTTTTTAATGGCTTTTAAGACATTACATGCTAAAAACATTGCATGCATTCTTTTAAATGATTTATTACCGAATATTACTTATACCGAAATCAGCGGCACCTTAAATTTACATTATAGCTTCCTGAAATCTGATATCTTTGTATTTTTCGCGTGATTACATAATTGCCGACAATTTTGCGTGTCTGAACAAGTCATCCCGGTCTGCTTACATTTGTTTTGCTCACGAATTTAGTTTCAACTGAAACCTATATTGTACCACTTCAAGCTGTCACTGTTCAACGCCAGTGTTCCACAGAAGGATGCAAACCTTAGTCATACTCACCACGATTTCAACCAGTCTATCAATCGTTGGCTGCATTATAATATTCTTCGCGCATAAATTTTGGAAGGACGCCCGATCGAATTCACGAAATATCTTATTGTACATCACAATTGCTGATCTGTTTACAGCTATTGGCTACTTATTCGGTGTGCATATCCCTTGGAACGACAAGTGTGTGTTTCAAAGTTTTTTGACGACCAGTTCAAGTATGATGTCGTTTTTTTGGACGTCGTGTATGGCGCTTTATTTGCACGCAGTGTCGGTAAAAGCAAATTATGAACTTGGAAAGCGCATTATCTTCGCATTTCATCGCATTGCATGGCCAGTACCTTTACTAATAAGCCTTATAGCTTTACTGGCTGGTAAGCTGGGTGGAGGATGTGCTGGTCGTGATATCGCAACAGCGAAGTGGTGTTGGATTAAAGAGAACTGTGATAATGGAACAATTACTACGCCGCGCTACGAGAGTGTGCTTTGGATGTTGCTTGCTGGCAAACTTTGGGAGATTACGAGTTATATTCTCATCATAATTGTCTACGCTCGCATCTATGTTTATGTGCGAAAACAGCGAAAATTGGTAAGAGTTTTATGATTTTTATACATCCACTGTATATATGAATATGATGCTTAGTAGCAATGTTTTAAACTGATATTAATTATATGTCAATAGAAATCATTCTATGCTTGAGAGATGTCAAACCATTTTAAATGAAATAGTTAGGAAGCCAAATATGGCAGGGCAAGCTAATTATTACAGGCCCTATATATCACTTTTCCTCCGCAGAGGTTTTCATGACGTAGTAATCGTAAATACTGTCCGTGTCCTCATCAACCTTATTACAAGGTGATAGGCAACAGAGTTGTTCTAACAAGTCTGATATCGTGTGCATGTCTTGATGTTAACAAACTCGTAGCAACTTGTCACGAACAGCTTGTATTGAATAATTTGTAGCAAGTCTGTTACCGTCATCAACGTTATATAACAAAGTGATAACAACTTGTAACAACTTTACGGGTGTACTTTTAGGGAAAATAGTATATAATTATAGAGTTATATTGGACCTAACCCTATATGTATGTCTTTACAGGTGGAAGACCAGTCAAACTCAATGGCAGTAGCACGTTTCCGTGCAGTTGAAATGAGGACAGTCTTAATACCAGGATTCTTTATATTGATTCGTATTTGGGGCACTCTGCAGTTCCTTATTTTTGCTTTTTCTGGTGACAAGAGTACACGGGTTCTGACGTATTTCCAGGTGAGACTGAATTAAATCACGTGTATTGTAATGCTGCATGTATATTCATATAAAATTAAACCTCTCCTCTAAGACAGACATCTCTCTAATACGGACTCGTCTCTAATACAGACAGCTCTTTAATACATACACTTCTCTAATACGGACACTTCTCTAATAGAGACACTTCTCTAATACGGACACCTCTCTAATAGAGACACTTCTCTAATACGGACACCTCTCTAATAGAGACACTTCTTTAATAGGGACACCTCTCTAATAGAGACACTTCTCTAATACGGACACCTCTCGAGTACAGACATCTCCATAATACATACACCTCTGTAATACGGACGCTTCTCTAACGGACACCTTTCTAATGCAGAAAGCTCTATAATACATACACCATCCTAATACGGACACTTATTTAATAGGGACACTTCTCTAATACGGACACCTCTCTAATACAGCCAGCTCTCTAATACATACACCTCTCTAATGGAGACACTTCTCTAATATGGACAGCTCTTTAGTACAGACAGCTTTTAATACTAATTCTCTTATACGTATTTAAGCCGTTGCAGTAAAGAATGATAAAAAACTGGTCATTTTACATTGTTAATGCAAAGTGTTTTATCTTTTTTAGGCATGTGGTGACGGCGCCCAAGGTTTTGTGAACGCAATCCTATTCTGTTTGATAGCTGACAAATTGAAATTATTTTTCAAGAAATGTTTCAATAGGGAGGGAGGCGAGCGAGAGAGTTTGCTTCCAAAGAATAAAAGTGTCCAAAACAGTGCTGAGAAACAGCCCAGCAATCCAATTTGATCATTGTTTTTTTCAAAAGTATTTTGAATTTACTGGACGATTTTTGGTGAAAAAATATTAGGCCTTGCATAGGGTAATAATAATAATAATAATAATAATAATAATAATTATATTTATCCGGGATACCCACATCACATGCACATATGTTTTTCAGTGGTGTCCTGCATCAGAACTACACATATTTACAACATTAATTGTCAATATATAAACTGTATATAAAAATATTGAAATAAATACATGCACGGTAAAACAACGATAAAACGATCAATAATTTATAAATTATTAATTTAGTCCGTAAATGTGAAACGTGCCTTGATTAATGATTAGGAAAGAATCAATCGAATCATTTTCACTTTATTTGTAAATAATGATTTGTAGCAGTTGTAAAATAATTATATATTATTATATATTTTGGTCGATTTGCATGTATGGGGAATAATGCGTATCCAAGACTATGTGATTTATTCTGCATGGGGAACATTAAATTGTATATTATTTAATATCGGATTTAATTATATTTTCTTTGTCCATTGTCCGATTGTGAGATGTATAGTTAAAGTAAAAGTTTATCCTAAAAGGATAAAATAGACTAGTTGATTTTAAGCTCGGAGCAGTTGTGAATATATAGTTCAAAAAAGTCCTATAGCTTCCAAACTCTAAACCAAAGAGGTTGCCTCTAAACCTGTAACCTTAAACTCGTAGCGCGAAAAATGCAATGGGGGCACTCTCCATCGTAAATCTTGGCTGTATGCACTTATGACAATTAAAGCCTGTTTTCCACTTACACATCGTACCGAAACGTAGCGTATTTCTTTGTTTCTTGAGCGGTAGAGTGAAACTAATGACTTCGACACAAAAGAAAATGCTACGGTACGTTACGATACGATACTGTTGAAGTGGAAAACAGGAGTATCGACTGACATTCAGAAGCAATAACCGGCCTGCATGATGATTGCCTTTACGGCATGAAACTCGAAGTAACTACTTAAAATAAAATAAAGTCATTAGACATTACATGCATCGTCGCCTGAGGATCGTGAAAAGCGTGAAACTCGAAGTTGCGACTTTATTTTATTTTATTTTAAGTAGATAAAACAATTTTATAAAGCTCTACTAATACTGGTATCGAGCACTCTTCAAACTATTCAGTATACTTTGTTTGAAAGCACGATTATTATTGATAAATATATCTATATATATAATTAGATTTTTTTACATTATAATACAAAGCGTGCTCAATACCTTAAAATAGAGCGGGTATTTGTTTATTTTTAAACTATATTCAAAGATTTCTTGTTACTCTTAGTTTCATGCACGTAGACAATCTTATCTGCAGACAATCTTCAGACATTTATCTTTCACTCAGTTTCATAGTTGTCTGAAGTGCCTATATGCATGAAAGGGAGAGTAACAAGGTCAAGGCGAATGTTTGAATGGTGTATATTGTTATATATATATATATATATATATATATATATATATATATATATATATATATATATATATATATATATATATATATATATATATATATATATATATATATATATATATATATGAATGTTGTGGTTTCCCACGTTTACGATTCCACTCGTGTAACGTTATGTAGCGGTTTTTGAGTTGTTTTCAGACGAGTGTATACCAAACCGGGCAAGCAGAAAATTCTACTTGACCGCGGCTGGGATTCGAACCCGCGACCTTCGCATTTCTAGAAATGCGAAGGTCGCGGGTTCGAATCCCAGCCGCGGTCAAGTAGAATTTTCTGCTTGCCCGGTTTGGTATACACTCGTCTGAAAACAACTCAAAAACCGCGACATATATATATATATATATATTTATATAACAAAGTTTTGTTATTGTAGTAGATTGAAGAGTGCTCAACACAAAAATTTGTAGAGCAATATTTATTTAATCTTAAAAATTGTACATGTTGCTACTCAGAGTTTCATGCAATTTCGCAATCTTCAGGCCTGAAGATTGCGATATTGCATGAAACTCTGAGTAGCAACATGTACAATTTTTAAGATTAAATAAATATATATATATATATATATATATATATATATATATATATATATATATATATATATATATATATATAATATATATATATATATATATATATATATATAGAAAGACACAAAAACTTAGCAAGCTTTGTTTGGCATATTTATTACTATACAGTTTTAGCTCTATATATATATATAGAGAGCTAAATTTATTTATTTATGAAATAAAGTACAAAACAAATGTTGTCAAGGTTTGTTTTGTATTTAACCGTATACAGGCTATAGCCCTTCTATATACCATGGGTTCGGCAGTATAAGAATCCAACCTAGCTGCAGCCTATATAATATACATTTTGCCGAAATGCCCATGGCAAAATCTACGATATTCACTGTCCAAAAATGGCAAAATTCATGAATGCAATAAATATATTTTTCGTATATATTGTCCGTCTAGTGGTGTACCGACAGCAAAGAGGTTTTTGGATCTCGAGAATTAATCACTTCTAATTACTTCTTTCTGTTTGAAAGGCGTCCAAACGCGCGTGTTAATGTATAACTTCGTATCCCATTTTATACATTGTTTGCCTTTTTGCCGTAAAAACAGAATACTAATGCACACGTGCGATAATTAATCACTCAGACGTGGCAGCTATAGCTAATTAGCCAATATATTGATGTTTATAGTTTGGATGTCTTTTCAGAACGCTAAAGTAAATATTGTATCGTTTTTTTATTGCTAATTAAACTCTGAAAAATATTCATCATGGCCATGGGAAAATTGTGTTTTAAAATATTGAAACGAGCAAATTATCATTTCTGTGTTATTGGATGCCTGCATGTAAAAATCTCTTTCAAGTTGTATTTGTATTATACTGTCTTGTGTCTAACTCATGAATTCATGTTGTCTTGTGTATAAGTCTAATAAAGAATGCGCTAAGTTTTTAGTTGAACAGCAAATTTCACTCCTTCGATTCGAGAGAGTTCATGCATCTTAGGCTAATTTCAAATTCAAGCCCACTTTGCGCATGCTATATATAGCTCTTGGCTGATATAATTATATTGCCACGATTTTTTTAGATTTTAGTGAGTGTTATGGGATTTCGTTTATATATTATTATAAATTCATAAATTTTAATTGACAATTGTTCATAAAATTGAGTAGATTTTTTTTTCTTCAACATGTAGATTATATATTTGCCACTACCTATTTGGAACTGTCAGTACATGAAATAATTGGTAAGATTTTATGGAAGTATATATACAAAAGTTGATAGATAGGTTTATTGCAGTTTGGTCTAAAACTATTGCCCTTGTAGAGATCTGGGAAACCTGAATTAAAATAACTTTTTTAATACTGAATAGCTTCATACACTCGTAACTAATTCTCCCTACAGTCGATAATCCCTTATATGCAGTTATTGATCCAGTGTTACACTATATACTGCCGGAAACCTGAACTATAAACTAAGTCCATCTCGTCTACGAACTGCATGTTTTGAGCTCTTAACTTGAACTAATTCTCCCTATAGTCGATAATCCCTTATATGCAGTTATTGATCCAGTGTTACTAAATACTGCCGGAAACCTGAACTATAAACTAAGTCCATCTCGTCTACGAACTGCATGTTTTGAGCTCTTAACTTGAACTAATTCTCCCTATAGTCGATAACCCCTTATATGCAGTTATTGATCCAGTGTTACTAAATACTGCCGGAAACCTGAACTATAAACTAAGTCCATCTCGTCTACGAACTGCATGTTTTGAGCTCTTAACTTGAACTAATTCTCCCTATAGTCGATAATCCCTTATTCATGCAGTTATTGATCCAGTGTTACTATATACTGCCGGAAACCTGAACTATAAACTAAGTCCATCTCGTCTACGAACTGCATGTTTTGAGCTCTTAACTTGAACTAATTCTCCCTATAGTCGATAATCCCTTATTCATGCAGTTATTGATCCAGTGTTACTATATACTGCCGGAAACCTGAACTATAAACTAAGTCCATCTCTTCAGTATATGAACTGGATGTTTTAGCTCTTCAAACTGAACTCATGCAAATTCATTTATACTGGATAGTTTTATTAGCTTTATACTGTTCTTTCCGGAGGTCCAGTTCGGAGCATCCCTAATTCAGTAATTGGTTGAATGCTAGGAAAGCCAGGAAGCCTGTGGTGTTTGTTGGAGTCAAGCAAGCTTGAGTTCCACATCTTGTAGTACGAAACCAAATAGTAATAAAGATATCTAGTGGAATTTGTTGAGTTGTTGTACAATTTATATACAGCTAATTCAAAAACGGTTGTCCTTTGCAAATCTTAAATTCTAAACCTTAAACCTCAAAATCTAAGCATGCAAAGCATAATGGGAGCATCATTTAATCAGTTCATATATGGGGCCCATTTCTTAGAGACATTTAGATTTCCTTACGAGAACAATTCATTCGCAAATCTGAGCTGCAATATTCAACTACCATAAGCTTGAAACTTGTGCTCCCATTAAGCTTTGCGCGATTAGAGTTTAATGTTTTTGGTTTAGAGTTTTACTCCTGTATTGTAAAAGCTCACTCACACTCAAAAAGTGGAGGTTCAATCTGAGCTTCCCTTCAGTGTCAGTGCTGTTTTTGAATAGCTGGAGGGTTAGTCCAGTACTGACCTTACTACAGTATGTGACTAATCACCCTCCAGCTATTCAAAGACAGCATTGACACTCAAGGGAAGCTCAGATTGAATCTCCACTCTTTGAGTGCGGGTATGAGTGAGCTGTTAGAATACATGCGTAAGGTTTGCAAAGTACAACCTTTTTTTAATTAGATGTATATATAAGGCAGCAGTGATTATTACCTTGGTTGAAATTAATTTCGGGAGAAAAAAGAATGAGAACCATTTTTTTGTAACGTTTAATTTTGAATCTTAATATTGCTATTTAATTCTTAAACGCGAAAAATACGGGAAAATGGAAGAGAAACACGGAAAACCTTACTATATTCGTTGCAACCGTGACATCACGAATTTTAAATCAAGGTCACGTCTGCCGGCGCCCGACTGTCTCCTGTCCATTTTTTTAGCTATCCACGGAATATTCGTTTCAATGGTACCACCAAACTATAATTGCCGTTTTAAATTTTGCTTGCTTGCGTGTTATATTTATATTTGAAGAATATTCTACACTAAACCTTCAATCATATTGACATTTGAATATGTTTAATGCATATACACACAGGCCGATATATCAAACTGAACTGAAGCGCAAATATAACCACAGACTTTAAACTTTACATTTCAAAGCGTTTTTTTGTTTACTTTTGGCTTTGTGCGTGTACGTATCCCTTTTCTCTTTAAAATCCTCATCGAAAAAAAGAATCCATTATAATAATTTGACTAAAAAGTCATCAAAATTGAAACCGGAATTATAAAATGGCCCTCAATGACAAATTATATTATATTGTTTACGACTTGTGTCTTTTTGTGCGAATCAAAAAGCCCCGTTATAATTTGTCTGCCACTAATGAGTTTTTGCGGGGCGTTTTAGAAAAATTATGCAATGTTTTATTGGCACACCTGCGTTTACGCAATTACTCACAGTGATACATCAATAAAAGGTATAATGAATAGACAATGAGGGTCTTAGAAGAGCCTGGCCTATAAAAGGGGAAACGGTTTTTCAAAATATCAAATCTGCGTACAGTGTGAAGATTGAGGTAGCGGAGTAAAGAAGATTGATTTCTGTGTATCTCAAAAGACTAGAATTTGTTTGGAACAGAGTGTTGAATTTTGAAGAGGGAATTTGACTGATTCTGTGTGCGTCAATAAAAAGGCTAGGATTTGTCCAGAACATCGTCATCTCTGCATATATAGTGAAAGTTTTCCTTTAAAGGAAAAAGACTATAGCCTGACAAGACCTACAATTTTGTGTGACAAAAGCCGAAGGTATTTTTTCAAAATATACAAGAAAAAAGACTATAGGCTTTAAAAAAGGTGGATTTTGTGTCTTAAAATTGCAAAGCGGGAAACATGAGTTTGGAGACGGAACATCGAGCGTTTGCGAATAAACAGCGTTCACAGATCGATGGCCTTTGTCCGGATAGCGAAAAAAATGACGGAGCGACTTTCGGACAATCGCTGATCAACTTTATGACTTTAGCAACGGGCAGCGTCAAAACAGCGTTACAAAAGCCAGCAAATTATAAGAAAAATATCAACCATAGACGATACCTGCAAAAACAGCTTAAAATTTGCTCAAGGCGGAAGAAACGTTCCACGAAGGCAAAAACGGGGCCGAAAGCGAAGAAGGGAGCAAGTAAGCAAGCGCTTGGAACAGCTAGCGAAGTTTGGTTCGGGCAAGCGAATTGTGGGGACATTTTTATGGCATCTGAAGGGAACTTGAATCAACAATTTTCAACGAACAATAATCTATTTCTTCCATACGAAGCAGCATTTAATGGCGTCGGAAGTGGATATAACATTCAGAACAGTCTGACGAATAGTACAAACTTTCAAAACCGATTCGCATGGAATAACTTCACATATGCAGGACAGGAGCAAGCAAACCTTTTGGCAAAGCAACAAATTGATAACACCAGCAGCGCGTTTTTCAGGGATGATTCGCTACCGGTTATGTTAGACGAGGAAGCAGAACAGTTCTTAACAGGAGAAGAGTTGACGCATGTTTTGGATATCAAGGATTTGTTTGTTCCCGAAAGAGCGCATGCGGAAAATGGAAGTAACGATATTTTGAAGTTTAATTCGTCTTGCACTTTTGATGAAAATATTTATAGTGGTTTCCAGACTGTGCCTTCTACTACAAGTATCCTTAGCTGGTAAAACTTACAATAGGAAAGAATAAAATACCCTTGAAAATAATTCATATAATAAAGTTTAGTTATAAAATAAAGGAAAATGGTTCTGTTTAATTTTTAGTGCTTGGGTTACGTTTTCAGTTTTGTTGCTTTCTAAAAGCCGATTTACAGTACAGTATACACAACTTTTGCCTAAAACTGTCGCATGCAACCTGCTTACAACTTCAATAGTACTGTGAGTCTGTGTAAATCAAGCACACAACTTGTCTACGAAAATGTAGCCTGAAAACAGACCTACGTTTCGCCCGCCTTAAAATTCGCGTGTCGACGGAAAGGGCTACGTTTCGCCCTTTACGTCGACCCGCGAATTTTAGGGCGGGCGAAACGTAGGTCTGTTTTCAAGCTAATGACAATGTAAGCGAGTTGTGCACTTGATTTACAATGTACAGCTCAAGTTGTAAGCATGCGACAGTTTTAGGCAAAAGTCGTGTAGTGCCGTAATTTTGTATTTTTATATCACTTTTCTCATAGGCCGAATGATTGAAGTTCTTGCTCCAGATATATATGGAGCTCACTGGGTAGAATATACCCTTTCGCAGGAGGGTTTACGTACTTTGCATTTCCCTGGCCTGCGGAGGAGGGAGGTGGCAAAGGGCGTAAACAAGCGATAGCCGATCAGGTCCGTAGCCAACGACGCATCTCAGTAGCAGCCGCCTCTAGCCTGTGAACAGGCGTTTATTCAGGTTTATTATTACGAGGCCCACCTGAATAAATGCCTGTTCTCAGGTTAGGCCGCCTCTGGCTGCTACCATACGACCCATCTCTCATCATGGAACACAGGAAGTTTAGTATCTTTTTATTGAGAAATTTGTTTAGCAAGACAGAAATATGCAAATTTTACGCATGCACAAGTAGTACGACCAACCTTCACTATACCGAACTATTTATAGGTGACCCTCTCGTAGAGTCAGCTCCACGCATGATTAAGTATTTTTTATGAATTGTATTTTACATAAATCTGAGTTTTTGGTGAGGGAAATCGTATAGTATCCGGAAAAAAACCCTCGGAATCAGCCACAACGGACTAATACACGAGTTTTCAAGCGTTCGATATAAATATAGAGATAAATAATTGTTTAAAGTTGACTATGAGGATCTGCTTCCAAATCTGTGGCGCTTACTGTCACCCTTCTATTGCCCTAGAGATGGGAAGGTGATGTAAAATACGCCAATGTTGTTTTATTATCTGTATTAGCTTATCCCATTGTACAGCGTACAATATAAGTCCTTCGTCATTGATCACATGGTTTCTAAAATCTTGTTGACTCGCTTCTACGGACTTCTCTATTTGTGGGTCATTGATTGTTACCTTCCCATCTTTTCTTTTGTCTAATTCACACACTTCAACATGACCCGCTGAATTAGCCTCTGAAATAATTCTTCCAAGTATCACTACACCTAGCCCACCACCATCCATTTCCACGAGTGTTTTCCATGCGTTATCTATCTCACTCGCAGGCTCATACTTGAACTCCTTAGCTCTTGTGACTATTCCGCATTTCTCTAACATTTCCATTAACCGGTCGCACTGTAAATCTTCGTTTTCAATTTGGTGGCTTGCATGCGCTGTTATTATCTTTTCTAACTGGCGACCACAAAGGTCTCGCAGATCCAGATATTTTCCGCAAATCCAACCTTATGGCACATAGCACACAATTTTTATTGCAATCCTTATGCTTCAACTGCATTTTGGTCGTCTCTAATTCGTTTTTTAATTTCTCAATTTCGTTTTTGTTGTTTTGAATTTCTTCTTTCAATTGAGAATTTTCTGCTTTTAACTGCATTACCTCGGCTGCTAGAATTTTTTGAGTAGGTCCACTGTTATTTCTTTCCATGTTCTAGTTTTGGGAGAGCTTGCAGACTTGATAACTTTCCTAAAAGGAGTTAGGCATTAGGAAATATATAGTGAAATTCAATAATATCTCTTAATTATACCTCTAATTCTATTAACCGTGATTATACTTTGGTCTATATGTACGAGTGTTGATCACCGATGTTTATCAGCGGTAAATTTGATCATTTTATTACCGAAATGTGGTAATAGGCAGTTGAACCATCGTTAACTGTATAGCTATTTATATAACACAATTTAATTATTCACTGCAAGAAATCCTAGAGTGTTTTGATTCTAATAATCCCCGTCCCCAGATACTCGGTCACTTGTTGCAAACTAGGCTCTGGGTTAGACGCCTAAAGGGAGAGATCTGATTGGCTTCTCAGAGAACTGCTATTTCGCAGATGTTGAGCAGTCTTCGCTAGGCAAAATTTATATTCTATCAAAATATGTCAACACAAATACTTCGTTTCTTAGTACTACTTCACTGTGAAAATTGTTACGGGTGCTAAAGCGTACTAATTCAAGAGCATGCGCGCATAAACTACTGTAAGTTTTCTTGCACTTTCGGTTCCGTGCGTCCCAGGGCCTAGGGAGAACGCGAGTGGCTCTGGGGACATGTATGATAATATAGATGAAAAATAGTCGAAGCCAAATGTATATACCAGTGTTAGTTGCTGGGGGTAAAAGTGGGTTTTGGACCTGTTGATATGTTGTAATTGAATATTTCTTGTTTAGGGGAAGGGCAGGTTGCCTCTTCCCACCGAGAAATCTAAGCCTAGTTAGGGCTTGGGCTTGTGTTTCATGTAAACTGAGTTGTCGTAGCTGCATGAGCTCTCCTGTGCTTCGAGGGCCTTTTCTCCGGGTACTCCGGTTTTCCTCCCTCTCAAAAATCAATACACTTAGGTAATTTATGTAAGAAATGTATTGTTTGTGATTGGATATGAGAGAATTGCTAAATAACTGAGGTTAACCTTACGAGTTACGATTTTCCTTTCCAGGAAGTGTGTATTCCTTGAATAAACGCTTCATATTTGTATGTTACGGTGGCCCACATGTGCCACGGCAAAAGCAAATTCGTCACGGCAAGAGCAAATTATCCACGGCAAGAGCAAATTGCCCACGGCAAGAGCAAATTGCCCACGGCAAGAGCAAATTGCCCACGGCAAGAGCGAATTATCCACGGCAAAATAAAAATAAAAAAACTGGTCAGCGGTTTGGTCAGCGGTTCTTAATTTTTGCCAGTAACTCATGTAAGAAATATATGATGGGTGCATTGAACTACTTGTGAATTGATTCGATTTATTTTCCTACTTTTATTAAACTGTAACTTTTTAAATTAAAATATGTTTTGTTCAGCTTGTGGAGTTGAACGGTCTCGGGCAGAAGATAGGTTTTGTTCGAGTTGTGGAAATGGTATGTATTGTATATGATCCATTGTCGTTTCGCCTTGGCCCTTGAGAGACGTTGCTTTCAAATAAATGTTGCAGCTGCCTTATACCTTCTTGGCCCTTTTATTCTGTTTTAGTCATGCAGCTAATAGAGGTTATTTTTAAACAACATATTCAGATATGAGGAAAAATGGTCGAACATCAGAACATTCAGATGTTGCTCAACAACTATAGCCCCCCCCCCCCCAACCTGAGGCAGGAGTCAACAAAGTTTTGCCTTCTTCTCTACTTGGGGGTTGCTATCATGTTGGGGACCAACAGCAATATTGACACCCCCACCTAAACTATACTCTATGCTCTAGTTAATTTTCAAGAATAATAATACCAAGTCGAGACTTTGTAGCAAATTTGCTACAGAAACATTTCAGCTTTGCACAAACCTTGTTCTTATGTACCGATCAATTTGAAACTTCATCATCATACCTCGGGAATTTGACTTCAAGTCTTCTCCAGGGAGTAGGGAATTTGACGTTCTAGGTCTTCCATGTGGTAGGCATTTGATAACGGGGTGGGGAATTTGAACCGGAAGTCTTAAAATTTTGCCCGTTTTCGTGTGCTTCGTGCATGTACAGAAAATACTTCGCATTGGCGGCAAATACAGTTTTCTCAGATTTCAAGGGAAATGGCCCAAATTTTGTGAAAAACTGGCTCAAAGAAACGGGCATGGAAAATCTATGTGTTTCATTCAAAGGTATGTACTACATAATTGTGTAAAACTGGTAAATTTCCACAAGGTATCCAAACTTTTTACGTTAATTTCGCTATCTTGTCGAAAAACATTTCCATATATTTTGTACTTTTTGTATTTACTGTTTTATAATTTTCATGTGAAGGTGGGGCATTTGAACGCTTAATTTCTTGTTACAGTGGGGCATTTGAAGACAATTTTTGCACAGGGGGTGGAGAATTTGATCAGTCAAATTTCAAAAAGTTCAAATTCCCGGGGTCGGCCCGGGGGGGGGTGAAGTTTCGAATTGATCGATACATTAAGCTATTGTCTATTCGCATTTG